ATGTTTTAGGACTATTGAAGCTAACCTGGCTTCTTTGTGGGTATCCTAACTGGTTTGTATATAATTTTTGGTCAAATTGTATCTATTTGGGATAGACTAATACAGTTTAAGGTTGAGTTAACACTTATATTTTTGGATGACTTTTTTGGTTTTGATGTTCAGGCTAACCTTTTCCTAAATTCAGTGGTACTAATAATCTTTACAATGACCTTTAGTACTTGTTTTTAAACTAGTACCAGCAAGGTTGCACTTATTCTGGTGCTTTTATTTAAATGTAGTGACATTTCAATTTATTTGTGACCATTACTTGAATATAAAATTGAAGTATTTTAGGCTAAAGTTGGCTCTTTTATTCGTGAAAAGGTCCTCACCATTTTGTTATCTTTTAGTCATACGTAGTAGATTTGTGGCTAAATGTTATCTTATTTTTTGTCCTACAACATTTTTGCATCATTACACATGTAATGGAATTGATACTTACAACACATGGAAATATTTTCCCAACTTTTATTTTACAGTTAATTCAAAGGTGTAATCGTGAATAATTTAGGTGACTTTCTCATAACAGCAAAAGTCTCACCCAAATCTCATCCAAATCCTGTAAAGAACAACAAACCACATCCAACTTCAATGCAATGACTAGAAGAAGGGAGGGAGAGAGATTTATCAGAAATAGGCAAACAGAGGAGGAGGGAGACAGGAAGTGGGGAACCGGAGAAGTGGGTTAAGACTAATCTACCAACAAAGACTCGGGCAGTGAGAACTGATATTTGAGTGAGAGCAGGAACTCAGGATCAGGACAAATCTTTTGTTTTTCTCTCCAATATTTGTGGAAAGACAAGGACTCTTGAAATAATTTGCAGCTCTTTTTGGGGTGGGGGGGGCTTAAATGAAACCACTGCAGACTCACGGACACTCGGGTTAGTGACACCTGCATGCCGCTGCCAGCATGTGGTCTTGTATCACAGACTTCTTCACCTATGAGACCACCAAGTCTGTGGTGGTGAAGAGCTGGACCATTGGCATCATCAATCGTGTCGTCCAACTCCTCATCATCACCTACTTCATTGGGTAAGTCCTTCACTCCCAGCTGCTGCTCCTTATAGTTGATAGCTCATATTTGGGTTATTTTTCGATTGTCTTGACCAAACCAATCTCTCCAAAAGAGATTTAGAGTGCGTCTGTGTGTGCATCTGTGTGCGTATGTTTTTTAAGGTGGGTCTTTGTCCATGAGAAGGCGTACCAGATTAGAGACACTGCTATTGAATCCTCAGTGATGACTAAAGTCAAAGGTTTCGGAATTTACAACAACAAGGTGATGGACGTAGCAGACTATGTCACACCACAACAGGTATAACTGCGCACACAAACTTGTGTACAACGTACTATGATTTAAAATATTTTTTTTTGAATCCTGTCCAAAATCTGTTTACTACAGGGAGGTGTGTACAACGTACTATGATTTAAAAATAAATAAATGAATACGTTTTTGAATTCTGTCCAAAATCTGTTTACTACAGGGAGCTTCGGTTTTCTGCATTATCACCAAGTTGATCACCACAGAGAATCAAGTCCAAGGACGCTGTCCTGAGGTCGGTAACTGTCACCATTACCTCACACTTGGACAGGGGACTCATAGACGACCCATGGACAAATTGGGGGGAAAAAGTCTCAATTAAAATGTTTTAATTAAATATTGTTGTAAATGTTGTAAACAGTGTTGAAGCTGCTTCTATGCTAACACAAGTTTTTTAAAATGTAAATGTATCATGTTGTTAGCTAAAATAGGCTTATTCTGGACATTTGCATTTGTTGATCTTGCTTTTTTTTTTTTGCAATTTCTGTAGCTAAGCTAACTCTTATCTAGTAATCAAATAATTTCATTACAACATGTCCAACACAACTAATAATCATAATAATGATAATAATAATAATTATTATTATTATCATTATTATGATTATTAGTTGTGTTGGACATGTTGTAATGAAATTATTTGATTACTAGATAAGAGTTAGCTTAGCTACAGAAATTGCAAAAAAAAAAAAGCAAGATCAACAAATGCAAATGTCCAGAATAAGCCTATTTTAGCTAACAACATGATACATTTACATTTTAAAAAACTTGTGTTAAGGATTACAAAAGACAAAATATCATATCTTCTGCAGGGATTCTCACAGGGAAATGTGTTCCCTTCAACGCCACCCTCAGCATGTGTGAGATTAAAGGCTGGTGTCCTGCTGAGATTGACACCATCAAGACGTAAGACGCGTAGTTACAATTGAACCCAACGTATATTGAAAATAATCAAAACAAATTACAGAAACTGAAGTAAAAAGTTGATGGAACAACTGTGACCTCTCCCTCTCTTCCTTCGGTTTTTCAGGACACCAATGATGGAAGTTGAAAATTTCACCATCTTTATTAAGAATAGCATTCGTTTCCCAATTTTCAACTATACCAAGTATGAGAGGTTTGATCACAACAAATGAGACCCGCATTTTTTTTAAAAAGCATTGAAAAACAAATATATGTATGTGCACAGGGGGAACTTCCTCCCCACCATCACTGGAAACTACATCAAGACATGTAACTTTGACATGGTCAACAATACCTACTGCCCCATCTTCAGGGTGGGAGACGTGGTCCGCTACGCTCAGCAGAACTTCACCAATTTGGCGAGCAAGGTGAGACCATGTCGGACCTTTTTTTTTTCCCATCCTTTGGCTGGGTTTGAGACTTATATATCAAAATATATAATTTCACATGTTTGTTATTTTCACACTAACGCCCACTAGAGGGCACTCTAGGCTGGTGTACCAGTACCTGCTGCTCCTGTACCACTAAAAATGTACATGTTCGTTATTTTTCAGCCACCAGAGGGCACTCTAGCTGACTGGTGCGACTTATATGTGATTTTTCTTTTTTTTTTTTGGCTGATGCAACTTATACCTCTCTAACCCTGTTAGGCCCGCCTTTTTCTAGCTGCACCCTAAAATCCACCAATCAAAAGCAGGTAGCTCCATCCATTTTATGTACAGTATATGTTCTAGGAGTGTTGCAGTGTTTATCTGTGTAACCATTTCTCAAAGTGCTTAGTTCATAATGCAGCCTTAAGGGCTGGAACTACCCAGAGGGCAGAGCCAATATCTAAGTGCTTTAAGTGCTGGAGCAGACAACCTGTTTTTATTAAAGGTTACGAGAGGTTACCACTGTTTCTGTAAGACAGCCCTAATGAAAGCACGACCGGTGTTGTGGTCACATTAGACAATGTAACAATCAGAAGGTGCTCATTCAGTACATTGCTTGTTTTAAATTCATTCTGAAGTGACTGTGTGTTAGGGAGGAGTGATCGGGATAAAGATCGGCTGGATGTGCGATCTCGACAAGCCAGACGACCAGTGTAACCCCTCCTACTCTTTCACACGTCTGGACGCCATGTCGCAGAAGAATGCTGTCTCTCCTGGCTACAATTTCAGGTGCGTCATTGATACGTCAAACTTGCCGATGTTCCTACAAATGGTTAGCAACAAAACCCCTAGAAGGGTCGACTCTCTATCGGGTCAGCCACGACATAAAATCAATGGGAAAAGTTGGATTGGATTCAATGATGCTGAAACTCAAAAAAAAAGAATTTGTTGAAAAGGATTTGTTTTATTGTTGTGTACCATCCAACAGGTGGCGCTATTTTAATGAAGATTTATTTGGGTTTTTTTTTTAACAATTATTATGAAGTAGTCAATCATTTTTGTTTAATTGTCGGTTGTATGTTTTTGTTTTTTTTTTTACGATCACTTTTGGAAAGTTGACGCTAACCCTTGCGAGAGGACGACAACCGTCACCTTCACTACTACTACTGTATTACTGCCCCCTGTTACGCCACATGTCTATGCTGCATCACGATGATCCTAAAACAGAAATGTTCTATGTTTCCAATGAGAATAATGTGTGTTCGCAGATTTGCCAAGTACTATAAAATGGAGAATGGTACAGACTACCGCACTCTGGTCAAAGCCTATGCTATTAGGTTTGATGTTCTGGTCAATGGAAATGTAAGTATGGTGGTTTAAAAATCACTTTCAATCGCTAAATGTTTTGAAGGAGTTGTTGAAGAGAATACGTACCAACCAGCAGCCTATAGAACATACTGTATGTAAAAAATATGAAAAAAAATGCAAGAAAACCAAAAAAGTGAATTACTATTTATAAATTAATATAATATTTTCCCATTTAATCTATGGCCATTACTTCTAACATTCAGGGGTTTTTATTTCTATTTTATATATTGTATAAAATTGCATCCAGTAATGAGTTATTCAAATGCACATATATTCACAGGTTCATATAGTCATATATATATATAAACATATGCAAAATCTAAATTAAAATTAAATAATCAACCAAGATATCACCACCCTTTGCAGTTCCTTTGTGGACCCTTAAA